TGATGCAACCTTCGCTGGTCTTCTTGCTTGCTCAGGTGACAGCTGGCTGCTGCTATGCTTCTTTCTTCTCGGGACAGGGATGAGGGACAAAGGCCCTAGGCAGATGAAAGCGTTCCTATCCCTGGGCCCAGAGGCAAGTCACAGCGTCCTGAGAGGGCCAAGGCTTGGCTCTTGTGGTTGGCACAAACTTTGATGGGGAGAGAATTCTGTTAAGAGTGGATATGAGGAAAGCCTCTCTTCTTCCTCCTTGCTCAGGCAGTTAGCAAAGATCAGGCAGGGACTGGCAGCTGTCTCCGTCTAGTCCTGGCCCCCTTCCAGGACTGTCCCCCTATTCTCACCAAGGCTCCCCAGCACAGGTCTGCATAGCTGCTGCGTGCCGGCCAGTAGTGGGACACTTAGGGGAGTGGGCAGAGACCCCCGGTTCCAGCATCCAGCCACTGTCGGCAGCCTGCCCGCCCACAGGGCAGCCTGAAGGGAGATGAAGGTAGGCAGGCTTCAGCAGAGGGCACTCAAGTCCTAGGAATCTGCACTCAGCTAACCGCACACAAGTGCTCCGTGGTTTCCGGGGAAGCTTAGATCATGAATCTCAGTAACTCGAGCCCAGGGCCTCATCACTCACCATGATTGTGGGGGGATTGAAAGCTGGAGTAGATTAGTCTAAACAAAACACGCACACAGGGGACTCGTCCAAATGAGTCCCTTGGCCACCACTGGCGACCCCCTCCCATCCTCACAGAAACCAGGGAAGAGTTTGGGGAGGGGTCCTGGAGGGGCTGGTCAACTAGATTTTCTTCATTCCCCTACCCACACCTGTGAGCCAGTGAGAGACATGAATCTCCCTGGCAGCGACTTGGGCCAACTCAGCCATTTTCATGGATGTTAATGAAATGCAGGAGCACTTGTCCTTTCAGACAGCAGCCCCTTTTATTTTGGAATGAAAAGCTGCATTAGTCTGAATGAGGTTTGGAGGCCTCATAAATCCAGGGCTGGCTGCCTCTTGGGGGAGCGAGGATCCCAGGCCTGGCTGGTGGTAGACTTGTTTACCAACAATTAGAAAAGCCAGGATTGGTGCCTCCCAATCCCCAGAGATACAGCTTGAGATCATGCCAGCCCTGGGTTCCTGCTGGTGGCAGGACAGCCTGGAGAGGCACACGATGATGACAGGGAGAGAGGGCTGCAGGTTTGGGGAGGTGATGGAGCACCCTAGTTTGTTCTAGTAAAGGGTCCAAATCCTATTCTACTCTTAGCTGTTCTGCAAGCAGCCAGAAAGCCCCAGTGGGCCTCCAGCAGAAGTGACGGGGATCTTCTGCTAGAGCCTATTCCCTGCTCAACTCAGGCAAGACAGGACAAGGGTTAAGCCTGCAAGCTTAAGAGATAGATAGGCCTGCAAGTAGATCTTGGTTCCTCACCCGCAGAGCCTAGCAGTGATGGCCAATAAATATTAGAGGAAGAAAGGAGGAAAGAAGGAAGGATGGGAGGAAGGAAGGAAGGAAGGAAGGAAGAAAAATGATCACTTTATAACTGGATCATCCAAACGCAATTATTTTTAATTTTTTCTATTGCTTTCCCTCTGCCTCAATGTCCTAAGTTGGTTGGACCTTTGAAAGGGCTTCACCTGGGGCCCTGGAGGGAAGAAAGGGAGGAAGGAAGGAAGGAAGGAAGGAAGGAAGGAAGGAAAGAAGGGAGGGAGGGAGGGAGGGAGGAAGGAAGGAAAGAAAGAAGGGAGGGAGGAATGAAGGAAGGAAGGGAAAAGGTCACATATGAGCTGTGTGACTTTGAACTTCTTAAGCTGTTGAGGCTCAGAGTCTTCATCTGCAAAATACAAATACCATCATAGCCAGCTGTGGAGAGGGTTAGATGGAGCAATGCATGTAAGATATGTTGAATGAGTGAGTATGTCATCCGAAACATAGAAAACATGTAATCAATACTAGTGGTCATAACAATCATTGCTGTTGTTTTGTTGTAATGCTTCCCGTCCTCCCCCAGACTGGGAGGGAGGAGGCTGCTGTCAGTTTGGGGAGACTTCTATGTTACAAAACGGCTTGCAGCTAGGTCCAAAAGAAGTCCCAGTCCTGGGCTGAGGGCAACTGGCTTCTCTCTGACTCCAGGGCTCCAGCCAGGCTGCTAGGCCAGGGGCTGAGCCTCACAGCCCCTGCCCCTGGAGGCTGTTTTCCACCGCAGCCAACATGGCAGCAAAAGAAAGCCTCCCTCCGGGCGCTGGCTAATTCCCGCCCACTCTGAAATGTGCAGGAGCAAGGCCCAGACTGTGCTGCTTCCCTGGGATTGTCAAGGGGGCTTCAGGTGACAGGGCCACACTTTCGTGCCCTGGGGGCCTCAGATTCCCCCTTCACCTTCATCCATTCATTTCTTTAGTACCACTGTCATGCTGGCTTTCTTGGAGGCTGCTCTTCTTCCTCCTGCTCCTCACCCTTCATCTCTCCCTCCCACTGGCCATTCCCAGGGTTCTAGTGTGAGATGCAGATCTGCCCATTCCTAGTCATCACGCTTCTGTTTTACTACCCCAGCCAAACCACTGTTTCCTGCACCCTGCCCCTCTCACGCCAAGAGGCTGCTTGCAGGATAACCAACACAGAACGAGCATCTAGGCTCTCCCTTCCTCCCTCATAACCTGATCATCCTTGGGCACTGCTGTTGATGCCTTTTGAGCCCTTCATCCTCTGCCTTGAGTTCAGGTCCTGCCAATCCCCTTTTCATTCCTCCATCAGGGCACAGGAATTTTCTTTCTTGGAAAACAGTCAGGACTTTTTGGTTCCTTGGAGCAACTAAACCAGTTCCAGAAGCTCATAGATGATGGAAATGGAGTGTCCGGTGTTAAATGAAGACATACCTCCAACTTTATTGTAAAGGGTGGGGCCTTCTGCTCCCCTCTCCTGTGCTTCCTCCTTGCTAGTGCCCACTGGGGCCCGTTACTCTCTGTCAAGAGGTGGCAGCTGCCGCTTCTCTGGCTCTGGTCTGCATGTCCTTCCCTCTGGTCTCTTGGGCGACATTTTCCAGTGGCTGCCTCGGAAACCAGCGGTTCCTGATCAAGGGTGAGGAAGGCCCAAGTCTGGCAAAGACAGACAGCAGGTAACCTCTCTGCTGGTGGATCTTTGAGGATGGCCCCAAGACAGGCACATCTCTTTCTCTTCTCAGGAGGGTCCCTGTAATCTTTCCTCATCCTCCAAAGCCACAGTTGCCACCACTTCAGGTGGGAGGGAGTTCCCTCCTAATGGCAGGACTGCCCATGTTGCACTATTCACGTCCCTACACAATGGCCACCGTCCCCTATGCCCAGACAAAGACAGAAAAAAAAAAGATGGGGAAATTAACAGGCCAGATAGAGCTCGACTCATAGTCTATTTGTAAGAAAATTAAAGATTTGCTTTTCAGATGTTGGGGGCCATGCTCTTACCAGACAGCTGGCAAATGGGAGAGATTGGGAATGATGGAATAGATCAAATTATTTAAATGAGAAAAATAAATTCACACACAGCCTAGCCGCTGCCAGTGACAGATCCGTTTATTTATCTACTGTATCGGTACCGCTTTGTCTCTGTCAGAAAGGTCATTAAACTCGCCTAACTGCGTAATTCGCAGCCTCCTGCTCCAGACTCGCTCCACAGCCCTTCCCTTCCCTCGACACCCAGCGCTACTTGAAAAAAATTTATTATTGCTAATAAACAAGTTTTTTTTTTTTAACCCTTCCTAGCTTGCTCCCCCACGGGTCCTGCTCTATCCTATGGAAAATTACAATTTCTCTTTATTCTTTCTCAGTTGGAATGGGGGAGGGAGGCCAGCCCCGCCTGCATAGCTGGAAAAAAGGGATGGGAAGTACCAGGGTGCATCTCAGCCGCCCTTCTGAATCTAAGGATTTAGCCGTCAGACGCCCCTGTCGTTGCAATGCACCGGTCAAGTCCTGCCTTCCACAGCAGAGAGTCTGGCCTGGGCTCTCCTGCCCCTACCAGCTCTTGCATCTCCCCTAGTCAGCCTGGACAATTCTCTTTGAATTGTCTCTCCGAGCCACAGCCCTAACTCTGCTTCCACGAGGGGATGGGGTTAGGGAGGGGAACCCGTTCCTGGGTGAGTCTCTGGCCGCCTCCGTCCAGCCAGAGCTCGCGAAGTGCGAGCTGGAAGGCGAGGCTCCGCAGACGGCAGGCTCCAGATCCCTTTGCTCCTGGCGGGCGCGTCTCCTCCAACTGGTCGGGCCGCTAGGCTGCCGCCGTCTTCCAGCTCGCGGTGCCAGCTCTCGTGCTCCACGCCCAGCTCCCATGCTCCGTGCCCTCGCAGTTGAAGAGACACGGGGCGACAGGGCGGTTGGGGACTTCTGGGAAGCGAGGAGAGGCCTCGTTCTCCGGGCATCGCCCCAAACTGCGTCTAGGGTCCCCTTCCCCGCCCCCATGCGCAGGTGTGAGCGCGCGAGTGTAGCCTCGGCGGGTGTGAGTGTGAAGTGTGTGTGCGCGGGGGAGTGCGCGGAGGGAGCGCGGGAGGCGGGCGGCGCGGGAGGCAGGGCGCGGGGGAGGGGGCTGGGAGGGAGTGT